TTATGGCATTTATGTCATTTCAACGAGATTAACGCTGACAGCACTAGTACACACACACACACACACACACACACACACACACACACACACACACAGAACAGCTGGGAAATGACCTCTACCTGGGTCTGGGTCCCTCCTGTTCCACGTCGTCAGGAAGGCCAGTCTCCTGGATTTGGGACTGTCCTCTGTTCTAATAGACACATTTTAAAATACAATCAGCAGACCACCCATGTGAAGAACAGTGACTTTAAAAGGCAACAGCCCTGATGATTCACCAGAGTTAAAGTAGTAAATTGTTGCAGCTATTCCTTTTCTTGTCTTCTCAATCACTGAGAATGGAAGATAAATGTATATGTTCATAAATCTCTACAGAGATTATAGACAAGACAAAATGAAACAGATTATACACCAGTGTCAGTTTTTAGGTTTTTATAATTATGTCATTATTATTATATATCAGTATAACCATCTCAGAAACATATCATTACGTACAGCTACTTTCAATAATATTGATCATTTTTAGACTCTTTCTCTCTGGTTAACCTTTCTTGTGCTGGGACCAGTATAAACACACCATTTAGTTAAACTACAGGAATATCTTAAAAGACAAAGACCTGCATAATGTTCAATGTGCTGCTTCTATATTCAGATAAATCTGAGATTACTTTACTTGGCCCTAGAAATCTTAGAAATATGGTATCTAACCAGATGTTTACATGGATGGCATTATCTTTAAGACCTCATAGTACCATAACCATGATGTCAGCTGCTTTACTTGTGGTTCCTAGGATATTTAAAAGTATTATGGGAGGCAGAGCCTTCAGCTTTCAGACCCCAAATGGACCCTGAGTTGTGCTGCAATAGCCTGATGCTGCTGGGGGCTTCCCATGATGATCTCTGGCTCTCCCAAATAACCACTTATTACAACCAAGATATGCAGAAAAGAATACACATCATGTCGAGCCTTGGGGCAAATGGGCTGTGCTGTATTGTTGTGTTTTCATGTAAAACAGAGCATTTGAGTTAGCTAACCTCCTCTTAAACCCTGCTTGTTGAGGGCTTTGGTGTCATTACATCACAGTTCTTCTCCTTGTATATTTCTTTCTTTAATTATCGTGTTGTTTTCATCAGGAAAAAAAGGTCACTGACAAAGACTATGACAAAAATTATTGGCCAATGAAATGAACACTGATCTATTCTACAAAGAATAAAGGCAGCTCTGACGGCAAAGTGATTCCAACCTGGAAGCAGCGAAGTATCCGTAACAAAGTGGCCGGTGAGGGCATACAGTATCCATCCATCCATTCGCTTCCGCTTCTCCTTTTCAGGGTTGCGGGGGGTGCTGGAGCCTATCCCAGCTGTCATAGGGCAAGAGGCGGGTACAACCTGGACAGGTCGCCAGTCTGTCGCAGGGCCAACACACAGGGACAAACAACCATTC